GCCTTCCTATACTATGTCGTTTTTTTCGTGCTAAAAACGCCTTACTATACTATGTCGTTTTTTTTTCGGCAAAAAACGCCTTCCTATACTATGTCGTTTTTTTCGTGCTAAAAACGCCTTACTATACTATGTCGGTTCTTTCGTGCTAAAAACGCCTTAGTATACTATGTCGTTTTTTTTCAGCTAAAAACGCCTTACGATACATGGTCGTTTCTTTCGGCCAAAAACGCCTTACTATACTATGTCGTTTTTTTCGTGCTAAAAACACCTTACGATACTACGTCGTTTTTTTCGTGCTAAAAACGCCTTACTATACTATGTTGTTTTTTTCGTGCGAAAAACGCCTTATTATACTGTCGTTTTTTTCGTGCCAAAAACACCTTACTATACTATGTCGTTTTTTTCCTGCTAAAAACTCCTTACTATACTATGTCGTTTTTTTCGTGCAAAAAGCGCCTTACTATCATATGCCGTTTTTTTCGTGCTAAAAACGCCTTACTATACTGTGTCGTTTTTTTTCGTGCGAAAAACGCCTTACTATACTATGTCGTTTTTTTCGGCAAAAAACGCCTTCCTATACTATTTCGTTTTTTTCAGCTAAAAACGCCTTGCTATGTCTTTTTTTCGTGCCAAATATGCCTGACTATACTTGGTCGTTTTTTTCGGCTTAAAACGCCTTACTCTTCCACCAAATATAGAAGTTTCCTTTCAGAGAGGAAAATCTGGACCACACAAGGACTAGTTATAAGCTGAATGTGCATGTTTTTCTTCGCATTACTCAAGCTTTGCAAAGATCAGCACCAGCATCAGATTTTCCTCCTTGCTCTGGGGGAGGCCGACCCTTTCTGCCGCAGCCCACGAGACAAATTCAGTCTTTTCAACCTGCACATGCTCAGGTGATGTAATGTCAAAAGGCACAAAACATTCGGCGAGTTACTAGGCATGACTTTTTGCCACACGTGCCAAGACAAGCACAATTTCATCACTCTTCTGCAGCATCCATATGGATACTGACCAAAATGTTAAGTCCATTTACTCCCTAGGATACCCTTCAATCATTTTTTCTGATATTGTACCATTTCCCAATGACGTGACACTCGCCCCCAAAAGAAATCACAAAGTCATAAATGCACATTTTATTTTAATCATAATACAGATGGTTTTAGTAATACATATTCAAAACATCTTAAGAGGCCCAACTTTGACAATACATCGGCCCAGAGATGAGAAACATGCAAGACTTGAAACATGTTGTTTCAAACTGTACTGGAAGCTATTTGACTAATATTAGAAAGGTGATACTCAGCATAAGCAATACTCGGAATCCAATATATAATGTGTGTTTGCATATCATATAGTAGAGGTTAGTTCTGCAACAGACAAAAACAGTGAGCACGTATGCTCAAACACGCGCTTCCACATCCCATCAGTGCTCAATGTCCACTTTTCAACCTTGCCAGACGGACTTCCTCCATGAGCTCTTTGAGGTACTCAATTTCTCTCGCCATAGATTCCGCCTTCTCTTTCAGCTCTACGTTCTTCCTCTCTAGCAGCGAGTACTCGGTCAACAGAAGATCCTGCTCGGCCCTCTTTTTCTGCCGGTAGCGAGTGGCTGCTGTCTTATTCTGCTCCATCTTCTTTAATTTCTTGTTCTTGGGTGCCTTCCAAGTTTCTCTTTCATCTGAACCTGGGAATGGCTTAACTTTAACTGTGGGCAAGTGGGGCTTATATTTTTGTTTAGGGTCTGGGTATGGTCGGGTTCTGGAGGACCTTGTTTGGGGTGAGGCCGGGGGAGAGGAATGATTCACGTTGGACCGCATGGGACCAGTGGAGTGCGCACTCGCGTCATTTTTAGGCGCCAGCACAAGGACAATTCGAGTTGGTGAAAGGGAGACCACAAACCTTTGGACCGGGGGTGGTATCACAGTGGCTACCACCTCATCCATGGGAACATCCACCTCACTACCTAGGTCCAGGGTGTATGCAGGGGAGGAGGAAGAGTCGTCATACGGGGAGGGGGGACTTGGGGAGTCAGCAGATTTTGATTCAGATTTCATTTCTAACTCCTCTTGGGGTTCTGGGGTGGATGAATCAGGGGAGGAGGGAACATCGCATGCATCATCGTGGGATGCTGTTTCCGCTGAGGAGATAACTGGATCAGAACCAACAGAGGGTGAGTGAGAAATATCTGGTGAAGGAGGAGCAAGACTTGACAGAATGGGGATTGGGAATGAGTCAAGCTCAATGGGGCAATCAAGGGATGCCAGGAGGTCGTCTGGATCACTGGGAGACTCTTCATTCGGACTGGATGTGCCTATCAGAGAGTCCAGGTCGAAGTCACTCAGATCCACCCTTTCGGCCATCCAATCCAGGTCACCAAACACATCTTCTGCGGGTAAAATGGGCACCATTAAAAATATTTACTGTCAGTTAAATTAAGAATCAATAACAATGTTCTTACCTTTGCTGTCAGCTGAGACCACCACCTCAGGATCTCCCAACTGCCCAGAGTGGGCCAACCAGGGGAATGGAAGCGGATCGGATGAAATTTCAGTTTTCCCCTGGAGGACAGCTGGCGGTGAACGAGGGGGTGTATAGAAGGGATGGGGAGAGGAAGAAGACAGAAATGAGGAGCTGAATGGTGACACTGGTGATGTGACTCCATCCATTGAGGTTTGTCCTCCTTTGCGATGGTCCTCTTGGTCAGGGTGAAATGCAGCTGAGCCCATGGCATCAGCCATGGGAGAGGAAGGCCCCCACAGATGGGCCTCCATGTCTTCCAGGCCAAACAGTGAGCTTGTCATCATCATGGTCATAGTGGCTGTTGTTGGTCACAAAAGGAGTACGTGACAACGATCTGAGGGTGCCAAACTCTTTGTTGCTGTCGTGTGCAGCAGTGCTGAGGGTTTCCACGTGGGACCTGGAAACAGAGGAAAACATTTGGTTACAATTACTGTTACCTTCACAGACAAGTTTTTGTCACAAGTCAAGGCGTGTATGTCAAAGCCATAATGCCAGCCAAGAGTGGCGAGATGATTTTTGCAGTAGTCCGTGAAAACATAAGAGACCCTTGCTTAAGTGAGTAAAGTGTCGTGGGGGGGTAAATTACTGAAAAACGTGTGCTTTATTATTACTACATTATATATATACACACATAGACACAGAGATAAAACTGATTTCACAGAACAACAAAGAGATTTGCAGTTTGTGCTTCTCGATGATCATTTGTTATGACAACACTGCCCCCATCACTGCATGGAAAAAGCTGCAAGTCACGTGCTTTCATTCCGGTGACTGTGACGTCATTTATCCCTAAAATGGTCACCGAGTTCCCCTCCCCCAGCCACACAAATCCGCCATTTTAACACGAGGTAATGATCTTGTTCGACAGCCACGTTGGAACATCAAAGTAGTAAAATAACAAAACACAACAATAAAGTCCAATGGTTTTCACAACTTGAGATATGACCGGAGAGAATTTAGGTTGTGTTGAGGGCGTTAAAAAAAAATATATATATATATTGTTTCTCAACGTCTAGAGTTACATCAGCCATGGCATTTTAACACGAGGTAATGATCTTGTTCGACAGCCACGTTGGAACATCAAAGTAGTAAAATAACAAAACACAACAATAAAGTCCAATGGTTTTCACAACTTGAGATATGACCGGAGAGAATTTAGGTTGTGTTGAGGGCGTTAAAAAAAATAAAAATAAAAACATTGCTTCTCAATGTCTAGAGTTACATCAGCCATGATTAATCTTTCGTTATAACGTTTATTTCGAATGCGAGTAATAACATTTAAAAAGGTGTACTTGAAATGGACTAGGGTGTGTTCTACCACGACGTTGGCGATCACGGCGCCCACGGTAGGCCCGACACATGTTTACGAGGAAGTACCGGTTTTAAAATGAATACTTACGACATTTTCGCTGAATTAGAAGTAATTCAGTGCACTGGTTGGATGCACTGGTTTCTTGGCTGCTGCTGTGTCGCTGCACACTTTTACATTGCCATTTCGGCAAAAATAGACTGGTGTCCGCGAAAGCTGTTTCTAGGTGCTGAGAGGTAACCAAAATGGCGCAGAGGGTGCAGCTGCAATCTTAAAGCACTTTTCCGCCTTCCAGTATCCTTCCGCTTTATGTGTGTTAGCGATCACTCCGCCAAGGACTATATTTCGGTTTTTCCGGTCATATTCCATAATATAAATAAAAAGATAACAACCACTTTTTTTCTCTCATGAATCGATTTATTGAAAACTTATTGATGAGCGATAAAGGAATACGTGAACATGCAATAGCCAATGCAGTTAAAAAATACATCTGTATTTCACAACAGCTGCAGTTGTAACAAGGCGCTTTACAGAACATAAAATAACAAAATAATTGAACACATAAGATATGGACAGTCATGCTATCGTAACCACTATTTCTACATACGTCTTGTTGTATGAAGCAAAAGACAAATATGGATTAATTAAATATTATACAAATATTAATATAATATGTGTGTGTGTGTGTGTGTGTTTTAAATATAATTGGATTAATTTGGTCTATATTATTGAAATAATTACAAATGACAACATCCTCGAACTGATTAAACATTTCCACAGCTTACGCACAAAAGCAGCGCTTTACAGAACATAAAATAACAAAATAATTGAACACATAAGATATGGACAGTCATGCTATCGTAACCACTATTTCTACATACGTCTTGTTGTATGAAGCAAAAAACAAATATGGATTAATTAAATATTATACAAATATTCATATGTGTGTGTGTGTGTGTGTGTGTGTGTGTGTGTGTGTGTGTTTTAAATATAATTGGATTAATTTGGTCTATATTATTGAAATAATTACAAATGACAATATTCTCGAACTGATTAAACATTTCCACAGTTTACGCACAAAAACAAAAAAAATCAAACGAGGGGAAATTCTACAAATGTCAGCATTCTAAAGTGATTGTAGTGCATTTGTTTGGTTGTTGTTCTTATGAGTCATCAATTTCCACACAAAATTCAGATAGTCAAGCTGCTTCTGAAGATTTCGAGCTAGCAGTTGAATTCTTTCCGAGAGTCTGCTCTTAGTGGACTTCTTTAGCTTTTTCTGACCATCCTTTTCCTTAAAATACTGATCCACTTCTGAAGTAAAGGCATGGAGCAGCCTGTCAGAAGACATTCCACGTGTGTACAAAGCATTTCTATCATTCTTGATGTTATTTAGTAAAGACTGCATTTTATCAGCAATTGTCAACGCATCAGGTGGAGCCCCAGCCTGCTGTAACCTCACAAGATCGTGCCTTTGAACCTCCGTTAGCTCACAGAGGACAAAATCCAGACACTGTTCTACATCAGCAACATTGAACATGTAATCATAGACAAGTTTCTCAATCATGCTTCCGTCTCCAATCTTCTTGTTGGGCTTAGAAGCATGGACACCCATTCCTCCTGCGACTCCCACCATACCAACACCGACAGCAGTAACGACCAGCGATGCGCCCATGGTTGCGGGTGCCAAGGCTATACCAACCATTGCGGCCACTCCTCCCACTGCACCAGTGGTGCCTCCAGCAATGCCCATACTTTTGGCCGTCTTCGTCTCTTTGCCCAGAAGCTCAGAGATAGAATTAAAGTCAAAAATATAGCCTTGCAGATGTTGACTGCGCTGTGTCATGAGAATGTGGAAAAGACAAAGAGCCTGCTTTGTATTCAAAGCTCTTTGATTGAAGACCCTGTAAAGTGGGAAAAAAAATAGGCTGGAAACATGTCCTTCTTGTCTCTTCTCTCACATAATACGCTCTCACAGTATTTGCTCAAACATCTGTCGTCACATACAGTTAAGTCTGTAGTGTGATCCACAATTTTAATAATGTATGCTGCTTTGTTTAAAAAAATATTTGACTTTCCCTGACATCTTTGTTCTGCGGACCCACATACTGACTCAACATCAACTAAGGTGCTGACATTTTGGATGCCCAAGTCATCAGTCTACAGCATCCAGACGACTTATTAGCCCGCAATCTAGCCACAAGATTGAGTAATGAACAAGTCTGCGATCTAGCCACAAGATAGAGTAATAAACAATTTTCCTAAAAAAATCTCTGTTGTGCGGACCCATATGAGGGACACGAAGCAAATTGGACGGCCCTGCTAGCAGTCCGCGAGCCACCAAGCAAGCTAGCCTGCTGGCTAGCCGATAGCTCCAACTAATGAGCGTGGGCTCACACACCAAGAGAAAATGCAGCCCAAATAACAACATATGTTTCAATGAAGATGCATCAAAACCCCAAGTGGGTAAAGGCCCCGTTTTAGCCATGCCCCAAACATCTGGACAACTGAGAAGGTGAAAGGGAGTTTACAGCTGTAGCTCAATTCAGTATTGGATTGTTTTCTGTCTATGCACATGCATACCTGTCAACTCATACGGTTTAGCCATATTTTATACGGATTTTGTGGTGAATCTTACGTATATGGCCATATCGCACAAATCATACGGATTCTGAAAATTTCCGTTCCCCCCCCTAACAGGTAGTTCCATTTGCTTTTGCCCAGAATGGTGCTCGTCTACTCGAATGCTTTCATTTCCGGTAATGTTCCAGTAAATCACGTGGTTCCTAGTTGAAAACAGCAGAGTATTCATTGCATACTTCGGTAGTGTACAAGCAAGTTCTACAAGGAAACAAATATATCATTCAAATTTCGTGGTTTTTTTTCTGCCGTTATTTTGACATATAAAATGCTTTGGTATGTTATAAGGATTTTTTGCTCTTTATAAGGATTTTTTTGGTAGTTTATATGGGTTGGCGCTCCGAAAGGTTGACAGTTATGCACATGTTTTCAGAACTTATCTTCAAAAACATTTCATGTATTTAGAAACAAATTACTTTAGAGGGTCTTAAAATAATCTTAAAGGGAGAAGAGACAGAACAGCTCCAGTTTCTCAAACCAGTGGAAAGCAAAATATGGCCTGTGGACCACATTTGCCCCACTCCGTTCTTTAATCCAGCCCAGTAAGCATTTACGTTTTTAAGAGTCTTCTAATATTTATGTATTTATTACCAAAATGAGTGAAATACAAATGTATTTATTTAATATTCTTTAATTAAAAATATTCTTCATATCACCTCATCTAAAAATGACCACGACGATCTGTTTTGAAAATCAAATGTGGCCCTCCATCACAAAAGTTTATTCACCTCTGTGAAGTATTGTTTTCATGGGCTGATCAGATAAATTCCCGTGGTTACCTTATTTCCTCCTCTTTACTGAGTTCATGCAACGATGGAGTCATGTGCGTCGTTTCTGTCAAAAATATAGCACATTCTGAGATTAAATCCGGTGTGCGGATATGTTTTAGCTGAAAATGTCACAAGGAAGTTTGGTCTTTACTCTATGTATCTATAGGAATTAGAGTAAATAGACATACTTGAAACTGTTCGCATCCATTCAACCAGTTCCTGGATATCCTGTGAAAGATAAAAAAACAAACAGAAATGTACATTTATATCTGGTGTTTTTAGAGTGTCTCATTGACTGTAGATGATTTCACAGTTTTCTTATTTTAAAATAATTGGTCACCAACTCATCTCCAAAGAAAACAAATTATCAACTTGATTTATGCCTTATCAAAATAGGTGACAGAATTTTTTTGTGTGTACTGACAGGAGCACTACCATAAATTCAACAGATACTCTTTGCTATCTTCGATAGCTTGACATCACATTTGCTGTGTTTACACATTCAAGAATATGGATTTTGAAGTTGACGTGAAATATCCAGCGCATATTGTTGTATCACCGTAGGGCCATTGAGAGGTGACTTTTGATGGAAATTTACCTGTTTTTGTGCATTGGAATATCGGGAAGAATTGAAGTTCAAGTCTCTTTGGCTATGCATTCCCATTTGAGGTCTTGATGTCTCTTGTGCCTGAAAGTGTTTCATAGATCATAGAATCACAGGTGAATGTGTGTGTGTGTGTGTGTGTGTGTGCGTGTGTGTGTGTGTGTGTGTGTGTGTGTGTGTGTGTGTGTGTGTGATCCCGCACTGTCTTTCTTACTGTGACATCATTTCCTGGCAGAATTTCCAGATATAGAGCCTCCTCTATTTCCATATACAGCGGCTCATCTGCACATGGAAGGGATATGATCTGTTGAAGACCAAAGAAAATGATGTGTACTATATCACAGTCATGTCTTACAATTATGGCATTATTACTATACTACTAATAACCATGTTTTAAATGTTACTAATTGTTTAAGAGGTCATTTAGTGGAATAAGTTGTATTTAAAGTACATCGCAATACCTTGGGAGTCCACAAAATAATATGCAATATATAATTGTTCGTCTTTTTTTTTTTTTTTTTTAACATTGACAGGGAAGTTCAAGTCTAGTCTTCTGAAGATGAGGATCACATTAGACCCATCCTTCATAACTATAAGAAACAACTCATTATCTGTCCTGAATGTAGAAACCTGTTGAGCGGTTTCAGCTCGCTGAAATTCAACAATACAGATTTCTGACTGAAGAGCAAATCCGGAGGTGTAAACTGAACAATAGTTGTGACGCAGGTGGGAGACGGTTTTCACTCACATTATCTAGTCTGGGTAGGGAGGCTTGGCGGCGCTCAGATTTCTGCTGAACCGAAGTTTGCCTGTTGTTGATGTTGGGTCGAGGCGGTCGAGGTGGAGGCGGACGAGGCGCTTCTCTTTCATAGACGGCTGCAGGCTAGAGGAAATAGCAAAGCTTTTTGAGTTCATGTGTTGATGAAAAATTACGGCAAAAATGTATTCTATACTTTTGTAGGTGCCTCTGTGATTGAAGCTCGGTTACATTCATTGACTACCATATTGGGATGAATGGCATCCACATAAATGCCCATTGGTGGCTCTGGAGGTGGAGGACGAACAGGACGAAACCCCCTATAGTCAGCGTAGTTGTTCTTTGGGGAAGTCTAAGATAAACAAAAGGAAGTAGACAATAATACATATTGCACAATAACATCAAGAGCTCAAAAATTAATTCTTCTTATTATTCAGTGCTGGTTCTGGGAGAAGGCACAGGCCACAATTTCAACTCAGACAGGACATCCTAGCTACGAAGCGACCCATTCTTTGAATTAACTGAAGCTACTCACAAATCAACGAATACTTTCATAAAAGCATCCAGCACCACTACTGTAGATTACTGTATTTATTTTATTTTATATATAATATAAGTTCACTACCACAGATACTGCAGCATGTGGAATGATGGAGGACCTCATCATTGTTGGTGAGAGCTCGGACGGGGCGTGTTACAGCATGCAGTCTCTATCTTGGGCTGTAAAGGTTAACAAATGACAAAACAACATTAAAGCGGAATAATCATTGTTACTTTCCATTGCTATTCATTTATATGTGTCACTATTACCATTTCAATTCATTTTTATTTGATTTTATTTGTCATGTGGCAGACAAGCGGGGCACATTGATTTGTTGTGTTTTATTTTGCAACAGTATGCAAGTGTATTAATGTGTTTGTTAGAGTTTTACACTTTCTTAACTTTGCTCTACTGTGAATAAATTGCAAGAACCATCGAGAGGTGTGGTCAGTGAAGGAGTTGTCTGTCTAGACGCAGTGGGGATGGGCAATGGCAGAACAACTGTAAAGTGGCATGTTATACAATCAAAGATCTTATCTTCCAAGTAAATTTGTATGTAGGTCGTCAGAACATTGTCATTTGTCACCAACTGTTGCATGGCGGAAGCATTTTGATGGGAGGTCAACAGCATTCCGAAACAAGGAATTTCAATTTTGCAGCGCTACAGATATGTAGTCTTCAGATGTCACACCCGCGTGCTGTACTTCCCCTTTTGTCACTACTATCACACATCATTTTTTTTTCATTTAGTTGACATTTACACACAGCAAAGAATTCTAAAGGAGTATAGTTTTGTTTCTTCTGACCAACTTTTGGAATTAGTATTAGAATCTTTGTAGGCATTATTACACAGTGTAAAACTTACACTTGATTGTATTTTTGAGGATCTTGCCGTTTTGCAAGCCTTGCCTAGATAATCGCCTCCAGCATTTTATGTATTTTAAAATCAATTTATAGATTTTTTTTTTCTTTCTCAGCAGCTCTATGTATCATTCAAGGTTCCCATTGGTATTGGGAGAGAGAAAAAAAATCTTGGATCCATGCCTGTTTTGCACACAGCCATGCATCCAGTTTACTGTATCTCTTTGTATGTCTGTAACCCGCAAGTGTTAGTTCTGTTATGGACAAACGGCATCAGCTGTCTGTCCTCAATTTTACCAATCACAACAAAACATGCTGGTTACATATTGGTTTAACAATGCTGCAACACCAGTAATGGTCGACTCTTAGTTTACCACTCTGCAAGTACACATTCTCATGAGTTTGAGTGGTCAGAAAAAGGATTAAGGTAATACATATGGAAACGTGTTCTGAAAGTGCTGTATAAATAAAGTTGAGTGTATACATATAAAATACGGTTGACGGCTGAGATTGTGGTTCTGAAAGTGCTGTATAAATAAAGTTGAGTGTATGGTTGACGGCTGAGATTGTGTTTTTTTTTTTTAAGCATTCTTGTACAATAATTAGTTTCACCCCCAGCATTTTGCATATTTTCTTTATTTCTGTTTAGGTGTAATCAGGCTTTCATTCACAAAAAAAGACATTACATTTTAAATCGATGGATTCTTAATTAATCTATGTCCCCTAAATCATGCATTATTCTATGCTATAAAATTGCAAGTTTATGCTTACCGCCACTTCTTTAGTCCATGATGCTGTCACATGGTGTCCTTGTTTAAGCATTCCGTATCAGTGGCAATCCAATTTATCTCTGTGTTTGCCTTTCCAACACTGACTGAAGTCATGAAGTCTGCATAATTGGTATCTCAGCGTCACAGGTGGGTGGAGAGCTGGAAACATGCAAAAATGTTCTTTTACTCGCGCGCGCACACACACACACACACGCACGCACGCACACACGCACACACACACGCACACAATGTATAAATCTACGATTAACCGGTGCCTATTTATTGTAACATTGTTGTTTGGTGGTGTGACATGCGCTCCGTTATTGTCAGTTCTGCCTCAACAAGTGCGTCAAGGTACGAACAAAAGCCGTGCATACCGTTAATGTGTATCATGGGCAGTGTCGTTTTTTTTTCAGGATTAAGTCCATTCTTGATTGCACAAACAACAAAGCAAACAGCATCCTAGGCCCATGAACACATACCATATTTTTGTATTGTATGTCTCCAAGATGTTACACATCGTGGCGTCGGCTGTGTTTACCGAAAGCAGTTTCTTGCGTGCCTTATCACTCTGAAATCTCGTGACCAGTAGCGGTAGCTTTTAATACTGAATGATTGACATCTACATCGACCAATAGAAACGACGATCATAATTCGTTTCCTCCAATGCGTGCCTCGTGTCGAAGATAACCGAGTGAATGCGGACAATGCCGAGAGGCTTTAAACACAAGTGTCAGTTGGGTAATTTAAAAAAAAGGAAGAAACGACAACTAATTTCCGCAAAACACGAAAAATATACTTCTTTCTACCTGGATAGAAATGACAAGCCTGGGGATTTTCTACTTAGTCGGGGCGTTGCTTGTGACACAGAGCATCGCACTTATCAGGTATTTTGAATACAACTGAATTTAGAAGACGTTTTGCTCTGCGGATGTTGTTATTTAATGCACTTTAACATTTAGATAGTTAAGGTTTCTGTATTTGTCACCATCATGCATTTCAAATGAAAGGGATTGACTGATCTTCTTGTTACGTTTGACCAAATGAACCCGGAAGACAAAAAGGAAGTCTACAATTATTGTTTTCAGGGTACCCCTTCATAAGACCAGAAGCCTTCGCCGCATCATTAACGATAATGGCATGTCCGTCGATCAAATTCGGGCTTTGGCCAAGTCGAGCGGATCTCCGGATAGCGTTCCCCCCCCAGATGTACCCGTGGAGAAGCTGACTAACTTCATGGATGTGAGTGCCATTTGCTTCCTCCACAAAATATTCTGTCACGTACAACGTGGGTTTTCAACAAATTTGCGAGTGGAAAATGTTGCCACACCTGCTTCACTTGAAGCCTGACAGCCAGATGGTATAATGTGATACTGCCCCCACCCTCTTTGTATCTAGAAACAAAACGTCCCAAAAGCTCCATTATGTAATTTAACTATTGGGAGAATGTGAGGACGGTACCGCTTGACTAATGTTAAAAACAAATGTGAAAAAATGTTGACTAGATGGGGAGGACAATGAAGTGGAAAACTTAAAATTCATTACAAGGACCTTCGTTGCTTCACTGTCACACCTGCCAACATTTCAAACATCTGTTCTGAAAGTTGCATGTACTCAAGATTAACATTGTTCTGATATCACGTTGTTTCTTGAGGCCCAATACTTTGGGGTGATCAGTATCGGCTCCCCGCCTCAGGACTTCACTGTGTTGTTCGACACCGGATCCTCCAACCTCTGGGTGCCCTCCATTCACTGCTCATTCTTTGATGTCGCCTGCTGTGAGTGCCCTGATCCACTTAGGCTGGATTTACACTGCCGGTCCAAGCACCCAATTTCGATTTAATGCCGTCGATCAGATGTGTCTTTCCATAACCATGTGTCACTATCGTATCACGGTTTACATTCGCTGAAACCACTAACACTTTGACCCACTGCCTCTCACCAGGGCTTCATCATCGCTACAACTCAAAGAAGTCAAGTACATACGTTCAGAACGGTACTGCCTTTTCCATCAGATATGGCCGAGGCAGCTTGTCCGGGTTTATCAGTGGAGACACAGTCACAGTGAGCTCTAAACCCTCATGAAACTCAATTGTTTGACTACATTCCGCAGTTGTGTTGGTCACGCTATTTCCATTACATAAGACAAAGGTCTTCTCTTTCCGTGTTCCCCGCTGCTGTACAGATAGCAGGTCTGTCAGTGCCCGGACAGCAATTTGGTGAAGCGGTGAAGCAGCCTGGCATCACATTTGCCGTGGCCCGCTTTGATGGGGTCCTGGGCATGGCCTATCCCTCCATTTCAGTTGCCAACGTCACCCCGGTGTTTGATACCGCCATCGCGGCCAAGCTGCTGCCACAAAACGTCTTCTCTTTTTACATAAGCAGGTAGAAGCGGCGCCGATCAAGATAAATGACACTTGTCGAGTTACGGGGGCGTAACGCCGGTGTTTGCGTCTCAGAGACCCTGCAGCGGCACTGGGAGGAGAGCTGATGCTGGGTGGGTCCGATCCACAGTACTACACTGGGGACTTGCACTATGTCAACGTCACACGCAAGGCCTACTGGCAGATTAAGATGAATGGGTGAGAGCAAACCTCCTGTGGCTTCATTATTACAGCGGACAGTTTTGTATTGGTCTACAAAGCACGTCACTTTGTATTTTGCCTTTTGTCTGTTTGCTCCCCCCTGCCTCAGAGTTGATGTGGGCACCCAGCTGACTCTTTGCAAAACAGGCTGCCAGGCTATTGTTGACACGGGGACCTCCCTGATGGTTGGTCCCGTGGAGGAAATCCGAGCGCTGCAGAAAGCCATCGGAGCGCTGCCCCTGCTGATGGGAGAGGTGCGGTTCTTCGGAGTCGCATTTTATCGTCAATTTTATTCTTCTGACACAGAATGTCCCGTTCTTTCTTCTTCCTTAGTACTTAATTGACTGTAAGAAGATCGACACCCTCCCGCTCATCTCCTTCAGCATTGGTGGGAAGATGTTTAACCTGACTGGAGAAGATTATGTCATGAAGGTATGATTTGGTTCCAGATACTGCTCTAGTTTTGGTCTGTGACCCTTCCAACACTGTTATCTGACGCAGGAGTCGCAGATGGGGACTTCCATTTGCCTCTCGGGCTTCATGGCCATGGACATTCCGCCCCCTGCTGGGCCACTTTGGATCCTGGGAGATGTTTTCATCAGGAAGTACTATACCGTGTTTGACAGGAGTGCCGATCGTGTGGGCTTTGCACCAGCCAAGTAGTCCCAACTCAAGAAATTTTCACCTATTTTACTGCTATTGATTGCACTTGACTTTCAAAGTTCACAATGTGTTTTGTTACTGTTGCAGCCGTCTATTGCACGCTCAAATCAATGAATGTATATCTTCGATTTTATCAAAGCACAGCCGCTTAGAGTTGCAAAATTAAGTTGATATGGTTCACGGAGAAGTAAGTTGCCCCAGTGATTTTTGTATCCGTTCAAACTGCCTCTGCATTTCCTTCAAAGAAAGACCGTAAGACAACTAATAAAACATTAAAAATCCATTTGTCGCATTTATTTCTCTGTCCGAAGTGATGCACGGCTCAGACACAGTGCCGTACTAAAAATAAAATAAAGCTGGGGATAAAGCACAGCATGCAAGATGCAGCACATGGCTAGAGGTCGAACCCCGGAAGGAAGAGGTAGAAACCTACTTTGGGTTTTGATTTCAATGAACATGACATGGCACAGTGACTCACCCTGACATTTTTTTTCTTCAGAATAGACTCGGTTTACAAAGGAAGACTTAACATGCACAGAAAGACCCCATTAAGATTGTCAGTAACTCCAACACAAAGCACTTAATGACACGAGTACTTGAGTCATTGCCAATAATTCTTTTGGTTACGAATGCACAATACAAAAATATGTATCTACTTCTCCATCATTTAATACATTTTCAACCGACTATAGTGCAACTGAATGCTTCCATAAAAAGTGCTCTACACGTCATCGGTCCTGCCTAAGGCGACATGTGACAGTCAAGATCAGCGTCATGCGATTGGGACAAGTTTTGGAACCAAATCCTTGAACCACAGCACTTAGTTGTCCGGCTGTTGCTGTTCCTCAGAGCCCGCGTCCTGCGATAAGACTTGCACTCTTCAAGTTAATTGGGGTTTAACTTTGAACATGTGTACCACAGAAGAGCAAGAGAGGTGTGTCTAAACATGTTCTGCAGAACAGCTGAAGAGAGCTCTCAAAAAAAAAAAAAGACATGCAGTACAACAAAATGAAAAGCCAGCATGTGTGTGGCTTCTGAATCACACCATGTGTCAGATTTGATTAGCAAAGAAAAAAATAAATAAAAAAGCTGACACCAACACTTCTTTAAAAGTCTTGGAAGAAATTGTGAGTGTCTCTAACATGTAGGACGTCAGTCCCAAAGTTTGACATTCTCCTAGGTGGCTTGTAAAAAGATATGCACCGAATCAGATGCTGCGGAAGTGGAAAAGAAAGGTCCTCTTCATAAGAGTGAAACAAAGAGTAGCCCAGTACACGCAGACAGTCACATGGGAATAGTTTCTGCTTGTGACCAAGCAGTGGAGGAGTGACATAAAACGACGCGCTTTTGTCGTTTTATTGTGATTTTTATGGCAACGCTGAAAATGTGTTTATGAGGTCTTATCGCTTTCACATGCACGCCTTCATTTGACATACTCGCTGGTTGGCAACACGTGACAAGTTTCCACATGAATTCGGCATCATGTTATGCATTTGTCTTATTATTATTTATTATATTTTTGCCAAACTTTTAGTCCACGTTTAAATCAAAACTATCTTTTTTTTTTTTCCTAACGGAGGAACCCGGAGTCTTTTGGCAAATCAATTTCGGAGTATTTTATTAGCTTTTGTGTTGACATACAGACAACCAACATTACATTCTATGTTTTGACAAAGTGTCACATATCGGTAATCTCCATAACGATGTCTATCATAAAATGCATGAGACTTGTCCGGTGAACTAAAACTGTCCAATCAATTTAAAAAAGCGCTACGAGATCTGATGCAGAGTAATATCTTGTATATTACAATGAAAGTTTTTACCTTGGAGACGATGCATGAAACATACACCAACTTCATTTAGACAACGCGGCAGAACGCCACACCGTCGCGGTTGGCCTTGACATGGGCAACTGTGATTAAAAGTATATTTGGATGAACGCAAGAGAGTCGGTCGGACCCATCTTGAGACAAAATCAATTTCACTGGGCAATTTTCTCACACGTCAGTATCAGATGTTGTAATTCTCCTGAAAAATGATGCCTGGGGGGCAATAAAGCCTGATGCAAATTACTGCCTGGGTGGGTGCCGCATATGTCCGGATCTTTTAGGAGAGATGCGGAAGCTGCGTCTCTCCAGTCACCAGAAGTAATTCGGGTTCCGAAAGCGCGCAGTAGAGCGTGTAGCCCAGCTCATCCACTTCCTGTTCAGTCAGTTCACAGAATAAGTTCACTCTTGGGCTGAGGGCGCAGGGCAGTCGCCCCGCCTCCAGGTAACCCACAAGAGCCTTTACCAGCTGTAGGAAGTTGTCGGCCAGTGCCTCGTGGGTCCAGTTGGCTTGCTTTTCACTAAGCAGCAAGATGGCGTTGGTGAGCTGGCTGGCATTCAGCCGGTTGAGAGCGGGATTGAGCTTGCACACGGCCTTGGCCACTTTGAGGCAGGCGCATCGGTAGCCTCCATCTTCTTGATCCAAGGCTCGGAGCCGCGCCGTTTCTGCCACTCTGAAACTCTGCCGCCACAGGTTTTCGTGGCGCTCTGCGGCAAGCCGATGCGGTTTGGCTATAAGAGAAGTCCCGTCCTCCATCACCAGTAATGGCAAAAAGTCCACAGAAAGCTTTCGGTCCGTCTCGTACTGCACCTCCAAGGTCAGTGTTTCGGACGGGACCACAGGACGAATCACGTAGTCCAGGACGCTGCCGATAGCGGGCCAGTTGATCGTACCCACCAGCTTGTCAAACACCTCAAGGACCGATTTTGGGGAGAGGTAACCTCCCACCATGCAGCGGTCCCAGTAGCTGCTGTTCCGTGGGAAATATTCTAAATTCTCCCTGCGCACCAACCAGAAACCTGGAACGTTCATGATCGTGTCCTCTCCTGGTATAGACGACCACAGGTTTTTCTCCAGAATTAGAGGCACCATCAGCTGCGCGTGGTCTGCCGTCACCACCTTGGTGATGGATGAGTTGCGTTTGAATCACACACACACCGGCTCGGACTCATTAAAAAACAAAACAAAACAAAAAAACAAACAAAAAAAAAGGATGTGCTATGTCTCACCTGCAAGTCATCGTAAAGGCTGCCGCTCAGGTACATCTCTCGGAGCGGCATGTCGGGAAGTTTGGCGTGGAGGAACACTCGGAGCTCGGCGCAGATGTCCAACGCCGCCTTCCGGGCCACAGCCTGCTCCTCGGCGGGAATGTCCACGTCGTGCTGGTAGAAATCCCACAGACGCTCTTGCAGGGAGAGGCGCATCCGAGCGCGGAGCAGGTCGGACTGAGTCGGGCCGCTCCCTTTCACGGCGGCTCGACCCACGGCCCTCCGCAGATAGTCTGGGGAGCAATGGAGACTGTTCTACAAATCGCACGGATCGCTGTACGCTTCAATGTAACATCTCTGAAATAAAACAATTTCATCAGACAAATTCTAATCTAACTCTTCTATGTGGCTGACTGTAGGATAAGCACCCACTGTGAATAAATGGCACGAATCCTCCAAATTGGATGTCTGCTACCGTACAGAAATAGAAGCAACAAAATGGTTGAATCGATTGGAGCCATTGATTTCATGCAAAGTCAACACGTTTGTCGCACACACCTGGCTCAAAGGAATTTGAAGCGGTGGGCAGGGACTGAAGCGACCTGCTAATGGTGGCCTTCATGTCGTGGTTCAGAACCCGCGGTGACGAACCCACCCAGGCTGGCTCCTCCCAGCTTTGTTTTCCTTTCTGCTCCATCTTGGTGGGGCTGGTTGGAGCGCTGATGGCACGGTCATACATCTGCGCGACAAAGACAACGCAGTGAGATTTTTTTTTACACTTTGGACCAATAAGGCAGTGGGTGTAAAAAGTGCTATAAAGACATCTCACATACTCTTTTGACAGCAAGCGTTGCGATGCCCAGCATGGCTGCTCCGCCGACTCCCAAAACAAGCTTTGCGTTGGAAAGCATGAAGTCGATGGCTGCGCCGATGCCATTGTCATCTTTCTTCCCTTTACGGTCTCCATTCACTCCGGCCATCCTGCAGCTGAAATCAGGAATACACTTTTTTTTTTTTTTTTTAAACAAATTCATTTGATGTTGTACAAATAAGTACACACCAAAGAATTTCTTACAAAGGTACATTTCAGATTAAAAGGAATATTAACGTGTTGAAAATGTTTAGATGAAACAAATGGATCTGCAGTGTCATTTTTTTTCAGTGGTATGAATCTGGTAACACCACAGAGAAAAAACAGAATTTAATTTTCTAGATACATACGGTATTAGAAAACCCACCTGGGAGAGATACTTGCAGATGACCAATTCCTCGCCCTCAAACTGCCCCTACATAAGCCCACCCAATCGGCTACTGAGGAAGAACTGGCCCCTCTTTAGAGCCTCTTCCTTGTCTTCAGGTGCCGTCAGGGTTTGGCAGCGCCGAAACTCACGAGCCAAAGCGCGGCGATAGTAGTTGCGGTCGGTATACCGAAGGTGACGCCCTGCACGGAGCAGCGCCCGGTACAGCTCCAGCACAGCACTACTAGACCAGCCGCCCATGAGGGACCACACTTAAAGAGGGGGGGAGACCCTGGCACCTGTGCAAATGGGGGAAAAGAGGAGCATAATAAAATTATAAAATGACAGTGATATAGAATTTTCCTCCAGGAAATTCTTGATTAATATAAGTGGGAAAGCACAAAGGTTTTACAGGGTTTTTTTTGTTTTGTTTTTGTTTTACAAAATGATAAACAGATGCAATGGTGTGTGTGTTTTGACGCTTTTTCACAACAGTGAATAACCATCCACACATTTTCTCTACAGGTACAAAAACGTATGGAGAGCAGAGGTCACCAAAGTTATGCCCGTGGGTACCGGGCAGCCCCCAAGGAGCACATGAGTAGTCCGCAGGTCCGATCTAAAAATAGCTCACCAGTGAAGTTGTCATTTGAAAATGTTAACATGTGCAGTGTTTTACAGAAATAAAGTGTTGCATACTGCTACTTAGCTGTTTCGGACAACGTTGAACAATTGTTAACAATTATTGTGAGAAATCACGAACATGGTCAGTGTCTTCACATCCATAAATATCATTAATAATATATAATTCAAGGTCATTTCGGCCGACTTGTAACTTCAGAAGTGTGCATGAAACGGGTAGGCCAGAAGTTGCTTTCACAAAAAGGTTGGTGATCCCTGATGTAAAGGAATTGTGCATGAAGGAACAACCAATTACAGTTCAACAACCAATTTTATATCGCGAGATTTGTTAATGATCTGGATGTGGGTGCATTACTATTAATATGGCACCAACTGAATGGTTAAACCCGCAGAACCATATTGGCACTCGCTGTCTTTTCTAAAACAAAAGCAATCGTGGCCTCGAGACATTTGCACAATACTATACATATTAGCAATGTATTAACCAGGGACCCAATTTTCCCCAGAATATCGACAGTACTGTCCTCTACACTCAACATTTTTTGTACAGTATAGACAAAGCAATACTTTTCAACATGCGATGATATTGAAAAGCCAAATAACCAGGAAAATAAGCACACCATTACATATTAACAAGTTGGCTGACACGCGTTGCAAATCGCAAGCCAGGCTTCCTGTACCAAGAAGCTGAAGCTAACGTTAGCAAGCACGCACACCTCGCATAAACGTGACTGCCTAAAAGAGTCCCAATATCTGCCGTGAAACGACGACAACAGCGGCCATGGACATGAAAATCTGCAAAGGTTAATTTGACAAAGAAAATGGCTGACAGCAAGGAAAGTCACTCTTCTGACTTGCCTGTTAGCATTTCACACCCACTGACGTTAGCCAAGCGCTGACCTACACATGAAACACGCACGAGACACGGCGAATGACAGACTGTCAAATATAACACACGTCAAACAAACACGAAGAACTTACGTGTGAAAACTAGATCGAAGGATTTTCAGGAAAAGAAAAATGCCAGTCTGGGGGTCAAGACACTCAAGTCAAAAGCGGAAACAGATAGCCGACTGACATTCTACTTCCGGGTGACTTATTTCGTCAGATAAATGGGTTTACATAGCGTCATAAATTAATATTTGATTCTAGTACAGGATAATGACGCTATAGTTTAGGTATACGGAATGTCAAATCCAAACCATGAACCCGTGTGTATAAAATAGAGGATTCCCACCCGCCAACCTTTGCGTAAAGGCGTTTACATTTACTTCCTGTAGTTTTTCAAGTTACGAGCCATCGCTTGGTCCATTTATTTAGTTAATTAATTAATTACTTTTTTATTGATTTGTGTTGCGAGCAAGGTTATTTTAGTTCACGAAATAACAAAAACTTTTTTTTTAAATGAATCAACTTTTTGTTTGTTGTTTGTTCAACTGTCGTTCAAGCCAGTGTGAACAGGGTAACAAAATTATTGCAAAATGTCAAAGACCGTAGAGGTTGAGAAACATTATTTGACGGATCTGGCCCTCGGGCCTTCAGTATGACACCTGTGATCTATTTGATGATGTAAATTAAAAGTATGTGTTGGAAGAGAGTGGGCAGCATTGTGAATTAGTGGTGAGGACATCTGCCTCACAGTCGAGAGGCTCTGGGTTTGACTGTTCGAGCTTCCTGTGTGCAGTTTTAATGCAAGCGCCCGTGATTGACTCGTAACCAGTCCAAGATGTACCTCACCCAAATTGAGCGGGAACACGCTCCAGCACAGACGCAGCTGTAAGGATCTGCATTTTGGAAAATGGTTGGATATGTGTGTAGGTGTGTGCGGTGCATCCCCTGGCATACCAGTATACAATTCACAAACACGCCCCACTTAAGACAGATTCATATTTATTTATTTCCTTGACGAAAGCAACAGTGAAAATGTTTGTCTTTTTTAAGTTGCACGTCCAAATATTTCGAAGATGATGAGTTGAGATGAGTTGCAGGAGCATTCAGTTCACATTAAAACTTTACTTTGATTAAAAAATGAGTCGCATAAAAAGTCATTGCACAAGAGAAAAGGTCGCTATGACATGTATGCTGTGTTTAAATGCTTTGTCCATTCTGAAACATAGTTGGTACGACTAAAAGAGGCAACTTTCACTGACACAGTTCTTGAAAATTCATGCGGAAGTAGAAAATAATCAACTGATTGAAACATTTAAATAAGTGATTACTTTCACAATATATGCATCATTTATTTCTGCCAAACTGAAGAAGAAACAAAGGATTAAGCGGTTCTTGTTGCCATTGAAACATTTGGAAATAAATATCACACAAATCAGCTGGAAATTTTAATATTTTGCATCATCGAGGCATGCTACATATGATTTATAGTTGATGGTGTGTATTTCTCTTTAATCGGTTAGCCTGCTGATGATCATGGCATATACTTATGTCCTTTGAGCCTCGGAATAATCTGCGTATCTCTGACATCATTATGCTGAAGCAGCCAACACAAGTATCGCTCCGTCCCCATCCCCCACCCACTGGTAAGAAGCGGCTTCACCTCGCGCATGTCAATGTACCACTTATAGGTCTGCTGTGGAACTACATGGTGCCTGAGGGCCTCCTGTACCATGGAAGAGGTGGAATGACGTTCCCCGAGACCCAAAGTCTCTCCCAAACCCAGCAGAAGGTCCGCGGCCTTGGCTTTGGCTCGCCCGCTGCCCTCCACATAGGCTTGGTAGAAGGGAACCGAGAGATGGTCCATCTCAGTCAGCCAAACGGGGCCCCCGTATTTGTCGATCAACAGCCGCTCTCCTTTGCGCGTCAGCTTTCTCCCAAACTGCGGCTGACCTTCTTGGACCCACTCCAAGCAATCAGCAGAAGGCATCATTGGAATGGCTTGGTCAAGAGAGACTCGTGGTAGTTGTTTTTTTCCATCCAATTTACTCAGCAAGAGTGTGACATGTGTGAGGGTCCCAGCGGTGTTGAGGATGATATCCGAGTGTCTCTTCAGCATGGACTTGGTGAGATGATACAAATATCCTTCTGCTATTGAAATGGCGCGGTCCATGTCACCCAATAGTTCACACTCCACGTGGTAGAATTGGTTCAAGTGTGTAGCGTCGGGATCTTCTCCTCTGAAGCTGGGAGATATGTAGTAGGTCCCCTGCAGGTTATCCTGGAAACGGAGGAAATACTCCAGCACAAATTGCATCGAGTCTGCTAGGTGGATGTCTTGACCCAAGAGGTGAACGGAAACCGGCTCGGAATCAGACCCCAGACCCATCGGGGAGGAGATGGTGTCTGTCGTGAGAGGCGTCAGGGCATAGGAGTACTGACAGGAATTGCTGAAATATTCCACTGTGCTGTGGAAAAGGGTGTTCTGTATCTGGAACAGGTTGCGATACCACTGGCACGTGATAGCGTGTGTGGAGTGGGACTCGGGGTTTTCCCATGATCGCGAGGGCCGGCACTGAGTGATTTTGGAGTGGAGCGTTTTGAGGTCATCCGGGTCGGCAGCTGGACCATCCAGTGAGGAAACATATCCAGGGTATTTGAGGAAGAATTCCGTTTGTGGGCCGGCGATTTTCAGGCCTTCTGGGGAAGGTAGCAAGGGGATCAGCTTGGTATGAGCGTAATTGATCTGAAGGCCCTCAAAGATGAGCGCGCATTGAGCTCCCATTCCTTCTTCCAGCAGTTGGGCCACTTTATAAGATGCCAAGATCAGAGCTTTGTAGTCGCTTTCCTCTAGTTGAAAGATGTCACTGGACAGTGGTTTGCGTGGCACCACGACGGTTACTCCGGGCGTGTTTGGGTAGGGTGTTAGAAAAGCAACGTGTTGATCATCTTCCCAGACTCTCCAATGTTGCTCCTCTCCCCGTACAATCCGACTGAACAGGTTGTCATCGGAGTGAGGCCCCAAAAATTCAAAGCTAGAGGGAGCATTTGTTGTTGGTAATCCATTCCTAATCTGGGTTTGAATTTTGTCCAGTGCTTCATCATCCCAACGTGGGCCATTTTTAGAGTCACAGTATCCCGGGTTGGAGGAGTACACTTCCTCTTGGCTAGCAAGTTGGGCCTGCCACTTTGGCCCTAAGCCGTGAAGTGGTAGTAGTCGGATTTGTGCCGGGTGATCGGGGCTGGGATGGAAAACCAAAGCACAACGTTGCACGCCGAGTTTGTCACACAGAATTTTGGAAACTGATTTCGCTTCTTGTAGCAGAGACACAAAATCGGGTTCAGCCAAATGAAAAATGCTCTGGGCCCCACTGAGAGTCTTCCTGGTCAAAATAGTTGACCCGGGGGTCCAAGGGTTGGCATTCAGATATGCAACCAGCTCATCTGTTTCCCAGATGGCATGAGAGACGTTCTTGAGGGGTCGCAGCACCTCGACTCTTGATATTCCACCTACCATGGAGGCCACAAACATGACGGCAGCATTCGTTTCGACAGCGAAATTCCCCTTGGCGTCGACTGCAATGACCCCCGCGCAAACATCTTTCAGGTTTTCTGTCATCACCTCTCTACATGCCCGTCTGAGACTATAGCCTTTGTGGTGGTAGAGGCTGGCGATTTTTTGCGCAACGGTGTGTCTTAAAAACACATCTCCATCTCCGGAGCAGCTAACGGCTAATGCGTCGTCGGCGTATATCCCCGCTCCAACGACTGCTGTATCACCGACTCGCCCTTTCAGCTTCCCCACCAACCCGCCCGTTGATGTCGCGGCGGCCAAGCCGTGCTGACGATCCAACGCCACGGCCCCAACTGTTTGCGGGTGATTGTTTTTGGAAGGATTCACGCCATTGAGCTTCGCGACTAACTCTCTATGACGGAGATCAGTGTGGAAGTAGTCAGGCTTGATGGGTTTTGCCTCTTCTTCCAAGCCTTGCAGCAATTCCTCCGCACCGTCTCCCACAATCAGGCAGTGTGAGCTTTTTTCCATGACGCACCGAGCCGCTTTGATGGGGTTCTTTACACGTTGCACACAGGCAACGGCTCCAGACCTCATTCGATTGCCGTCGACGATGGCGGCCTCCATTTCAATGTTGCCCTCTCTGTTGAAAACTGAGCCTTTACCCGCATTGAAGAGAAAGCAATCTTCCAGGGCTTCGACTGACCTTTGAACCGCATCCAGACTCGGCCCACCGCGCTGAAGCACTTGCGATCCGAGCTTTAGAGCTGTTTGCAGAGCAAATTCGATGACATTCAGCACTTGCGCGTCCAGCATCATTCCCTCTCCAGCGCCGCCATGGATTAACAGAGTGTAGTCCGAACTCATGTCGGTGGTATTCTCGTTGCCGGTACTCGTCTGAAAGTGATTCGTCTCACCATTCATGTTCTTTGTTTGGTTTTCTTTGAGGAGACACTCCAGAGCTCCCATTTGACATGCGATTGCGTATTTGAGAGCTAAAATCATCACGGACTTCAAGTTTGCCTTCAGGCTTTCCTGAAGCTTGTCCAGTACCAAAGCAAAGCTACCTTTCCCGTTAAGCACAATGCGAACCTTGTCCTTTTTCCCAAGGTAGGTTACAGCAAGCTGATCTTGGGCATAAACATTTCCAACTCCGCACTCGAGTCCCTCCATCAGGTCGGTGCCGGTGAGGTACACAGACGGACACCCGAAGGGGTTCAGAAACTTTTTCAAGGGGTTGTCATTTGGTAAAGTTTGGCGAAGGGCAGCTAAATGCGGACCAACACCAGTTCCGGTTTTGGTGTTTTTTATGAGGGCCTTGTGTTCCAAATATGCAACATGGAACAAATTTAAAAGCTCATCCGTGCATTGCATCGTGTTGTGTCGGCTAACGCTTGACGCCAAGACGCCCACTAACTTGCGCGACTTCGCGGTGACCGAGTAGGTGGGATCACAACGGCCGTGTTTGAAGTGCCGCATATGGGTGGGAGTGACAAGCATGTGAGCGGCAGCAGATTCCCCCAAAGTCTGCATCAGGGAAAGTTGTAAAGAGAAGTTGATCCAAGCATCATAGAGGCCTCTTTGGTTTCTGAGAGTCGAAAACACATCAGGATAAGACGGCACGTCGAAAGTGAGAACGGGATTTGGGGATTTGAAATCAGGGCATGTGTCGGCGCTACGCGTGGGGTGAAAAGTAAATGTTAAGGATGTCGGGGGTGAAGGATTCATGTCATCCGCCGTGGCAGAGCCGTTGACTTGATTTGCATCAGTGTGGACCAGGCTAAAATCAGCAGTCTCGG